TGGTTGCTGGAGTCACTCTAGAACAGTGGCCAGTACAACAGCTGTCTGTGACAATGAACACCTCCTGTATCTGTGCTCTAGTACAGCGGCCAATAGCCACATGTGGCCACTCAACACCTGAAATACGATTGGCACAACTGCAGTTTAATACGTTTACATGGAAATATCACTTGTGACTAGTGGCTACTGGACAGGGCTGCAGGCCTCCAGAGAGGACTTTTCTCAGATTTACACTAATGCCCCATCACACTCCATACTGACTTCCGCAGGGGCCAAACAATGATTTTTGATGTGTGACTTCTGCACTCACAATAAACTTGGCTTATTCACTCCTAAAGTGTTATGCAGCTTGGTAGCTGCCCCCAGGTGGATATAAAACATTAACAATTTTATCCTCTTGTCTAAATAGCTTCCCTCTGTTGTATTTTAACAGAAGTAGCCAAAATTGCTAGTTTTTGCTAGGCATTAGTTGTTTATCTGAATTTCAAAGATAAAAATGTGCTTTTAGTGTCAAATTCTCAATATTTCTTAGGTTTTAGAAAAATAGGATCTTTTTGTCTTCTCTGTCCATACTTCAATTTCTTCCTTAGAACAAGCCTGTGGATTAAAGGCTGAATCATTTTTACAGCCACACAGATAGGGGCCCTGCCCTTGGAACTCACTAGAGTTCTGGTCAAGGAGGCTGCTCAGCCTCCTCTGGCCACTCCTGTGAGACCAGAAGTCCCCAGACCCAAGGATGTCCCCACAGTAGTGGTGCTCCAGTGCCCACGCCCCCCACATTAGAGATGCCCGAGAACAGGAACTGCCTGTCAGCCTGTTTCCAGGACCAGCATGGGCTTCCTGCCTAGCTCTTCCTCCCAAGGGATGGCCAGGGGAGGGACTATTTCCCATTTATTTGGTTTGTGCTCCAGCTAGCATGAATGCTTTTAGGTTTGTTTGGTTTCTTTTGACAGGGTCTCCCTATGTAGCCCAGGCTGGCCTCAAACTCATAGCAATCCTCCTGCCTCCACCTCCCAAGTGCTGGGATCACAGGCATGTGCCACCATGCCAGCATGAATGCTTTTAGGAAGCTACCCAGGTGATTCTACCCCAAAGCCAAATAAATGTCCAGTGAGCTATTCCAGGGTGGGGAGCGGGCTGCAGCTTTGGAGGCTCTGAGCAGGGAGGCCTGTCCCTTGGAATATCCTGGACCTCTAACCCTAAGAAAAGCCAGTCATGCATGCTGGCACATGCCTGCAATCCCAGCACTCTGGGAGGTTGAGGCAGGAGGATCTAAAGTTCTAGCCCAGACTGGGCTACTTGGCAAGACCTGTCTCAAAATACTGTTTTAAAACAAGGACTGAGGATATAGCTCAGTCAGAAGGCCCAAGGTTCAATCCCAGGTACTGCAGAAAGGTTTAAAAACAGGGCCGGGGATTTAGCTCAGTGGCACTGTGCCTGCCTTGCAAGTGCAAGGACCTGAGTTCGATCCCCAGTACCAAAAAAAAAGGTTTAAAAACAAAAAAAGCCATGTGCACAGGTAACAACGTTGAGTAATTGATTGACTAAACATCGACATGGATTCTGAGTTTATCTCAGAATCTTGGCTACTGTTAGGCATACTTCAGGGCTTGTAAATCTACATTCAGTGATCATTATTTCATTACAGAAATACTTTTTTCCTGACTCTAGGCATGTTCTCAAAAAATTGCTTTCCTGTACAAGGCCTTCAAGGCTAAAGAAATATCAAGGCCTACACCAGGTGTGGTGGCACATGCCTGTAATGCCAGCACTCAGGAGGCTGAGGCAGAACTGCTATGAGTCCCAGGCCAGTCTCACATAGTGAGACTCTATCTAAAAAAAAAAAATCAAGGCCTAATGCTGCCAGCAATCCACAGAAAACCTTAGGCTTGTCTGCAAATGGGCACTTTTCCTAGTGCAGAATGTTTTATTTTAATGGGAATAGTTACCCTCAACAAGAATATGGTAAATTATTATGGCAATAAAAATTGTTTAAATTTTAAGATTTGGCAATAATAAAGTATACACACCTATTAAATACTATTTTAGACTTTAGTGTTCTCCATAAAATGTATCTACTATATGAAGATTTCTTATTTGCCAATAAAAAAAAAAAAAGTGTGGCTGAAAAATGAGTTCCGTATAGTGTTCATTAGATTTGGAAAGTTTTGTGTTAGTCTACTAACCATGCATGTCTCCAGCAGTATTTATAGGTAAACATTATACAAGGAAGTGAATAGTTGAAGACAGCTTCATTATGAAAGCCACTGTATAAGAGCATTCTTGTGAAAGAAGAGCCTTTCCTCCCTCCTTTTCTTTCCTAATCCCGGGATGGCACAGGGTCCTGACTGTCCTTGACTGTGGCCCATGTAGGAAAACTCAGTTCTTGTGGCAGCAGCTATTCTAACAGCCAGCCAGCCCAACAAGGTCTCTCTGGTGGGTTCCATTACTGTACCTGTTGGACTATTTTGCCCTTACAATAGCAATATTTACAGATTGAGTTATTTATTCTAGATCCACAGATACTACTGTGAAATTCTCTCATAGAATGTCCACAACACTAATGTGACAAACATTTTAAAAAATGGGTTATATATACAGTAGTTTCAAGATAATTAAAAAAAAATTAACAGCATTTTAAAGAGGGAGTTGCAAGATACATTTCTGACTTCCAGATTGGATTTTACTATGCCTTTTCCATGAGGTTTACGAACTCCAGCTTAAGCTTACTCAGGTCACTGAGGTATGACCTAGAAGGTTAGACTCCCTCCCCAGCTCCTCCCCTCACTCTCTCTGCTTCCTGGCTACCGTGTGACCAGCTCTCTTACGCCCTGACATCCTGTCTTGGAGCTAGCCTCCTAGAGACTGACATGTGAGCCAAAATAGCCTCTCCTCTAACTCGCGAGTATTGGGTATTGTGTCTCAGTGACAAAGAAAGTAACTAAGAAAAGTAGATAAATGGATAAATACAGGGTAGCATCCAGACACAGAAATAGTAAAAGACTCTGAAATGAGCTAGGCAGCCATAAGACACAAAGGAAGCTCACACGCATATTATTAGGTGAAAGAAGCTGATCAGAAAGGGCTTCTTTCACTCTCTGATTCTACCTATGTCATTTCTGGGAAATAAAAAATAAAAACCAAGACAGTAAAAAGACCAGTGGCTGTCAAGGGTTGGGTGTGAGGAGAGGGAAGTATAAATAGACAAAGCACTGAGGATTCTTGGGGCAGCAAAATTGTTCCATGATGTCATGGTATAAGAGGAGATCAAAAAATACGGTGAATGTCTAAATTTAAAAACTTTATTATAATAAAAGACAGATAGTCATTTATTTGCCTTAAAATACACTTGCTTCAAACACTTATCCCATTGTTCTTGCCACTTCTATTGGCACTCTTTCATGAGTGTCTTTAAAAGATGTGATCAAAAGTATAGTGAATACTGTTGCCAAGTGCCATCCAACAGAAAGGCAGCTTATATAAACATTACAGTGTGTCCTCATCTACCTTATTCACCAGATCTGGCACCATGCAACTTCTAACTTTCTCATAGGAAAAATGATCATGAAAGGTCAATTTAGGACATGGAGGAAGCCATCACAGTGCAACTAAAGAGACTCATGAAAGAGGACTTCCAGAACTGCTTCTGAAGTGGCAAAAATGATGGGATACATGCATTCAAAGTGAGGAGGAGTATTTTGAGAGGTAGAAATGAATGTCTTTTAGTATAATAATTTAAAAAGCTAAAGAAAAATACTCATTGTAATTTTCTATCACCCTGGGTAGATACATGTCATCATTAAACATGCCCAAACCCATAGAATGTGTAGTACTGAGAGTGAACTCTAATGTAAACTACGGGCTTTGGATAACATGGGTTCACAGACTGTAACTAATGAGCCACTGTGGTCTGAAGGTCGGGGCTGGGACAGCTGATGCAGAGGGAGGGTGTCTGTGAGTGAAGGCAAAGGATACAAGGGCATTCTGTTTTATGCCCTCCTTTGCTGTGAATCCAAAACTGCTTTAAAGAATAGTCTATCAAAAGCTTTTTTAAAAATTGAGAAAAAAGAATGCTATGTGATAATACAGGTTGATGAGTATCCCTTACTAGACATGATTGGAACTGCAAGTGTTTCAGATTTATTCTGATTTTGGAATATTTGCACATACACAATGAAATTCTTGGGGATTCAACACAAATCTAAACACAAATTTGTTTAGAACACACATTATGTTTCAAGAATATCTTATACACATGACCCAAAGATAATCTGATACAGTACTTTTAGTATGCCTATGCTCTGACTGCAGTCTTTCACATGCAGTCAGTTACAAAAATTACTGTGTAGGGTGTCAGGGTGGCTCTCAAAATTTTGGATGTTCAGATCAGGGATATTCAATTTTGTACCTTTAAACTATTAGATTCAGACAAGAGAGTCTGGGTGTGGCTAAGGATGTAGCTCAGGTTGCCTAGTACGTGCAAGGCCTTGGGTTCCACCCCTAACACCACCAAACAAACAACAAAAAACTCTCCAGGACCATATTTATAGTTAACCATTACCAAACAAGCCATCCAATGAGGGCCGGCCCTACACAACTTACACAGCAGAATCCAGCATACTACCCTGAACATGACAAAGTTAAGCATGATGCAGGATCAAAGCAAGACCCAAGCCACACACAGCACTAAAACTATGGTGCCATAAACCATGAGGACATCTAGGAACTCAAACCCTTTGGCTGTTTTGTTTTCAAAGTTCATTTCTGAAGGTCTCTCAAGTCTCTCCTTAAGACAATTTTTATATATTAAGAATTCTGTCACCCTGCCAACAATATATTTGCATGAAGAAAATAATTTGACAACTTTGAACTTTTGGTGTTACTTTATGCTATAAAGCTTTATTTACATAGTTCTTCAAAATATATTTCAGATGCTCACCCACTCTTGCAAATGTGAATGCTATCAAATAGATGAACTTTACAGGAAAGGACGAAACAGAGAAAACAATTTTACAATTTAATATATACAGTGCCATTAGTAGTTGTTATTTTTACAGTTTTCTTTTGAGGGTAATTACTTCATTTTTTGCTGGTAACATTTCAAAGGAAGTTGTTTTCAGGAATAGATTTCCACAGAGAATCAAGAGTGTAACAGTCCCATATATTTTATAGTGTTATTCGACAGTGTATGAGTACCTGTGTATCATTTTTTTTCCCATTTTTTTTCAAAAGTCTTGGAGGATGAAGAATCCTGACTTTCATCACTACTATAGCGCGCATATAAAGTCTGAAATTAGAAACACATATCTCTTGTAATTTTTTAGTTCAATGTATTATCAGTTTAGTAAAGATTATTTGACTTATTCTAAATACAATAAATTTATTTCTTATTTGTACAGTTGGGAAATTATGGTATAAATGATTGGAGATAAGTTTTTAAACACCTACTTTGTCTTTAAGAATTAGCTATCATGGAATGCAGCTTAATCTTTCCATAAAATAAATATAACATAGCTATTAATAAGCATATATATAAATCTTCAAGGCTTTCTTGAACCCTTTTTTCTTAAACTTAAATTCCTATATGTAAATTAGAAAACTTTATATTTTCAGATGATGTTTAAACTAATGAACACAAGACAATAAAAAGTATTATAAACTGGGCATATATGGTGGCATATGTTTGTAATCCCAGCACTCTGGAAGGCTGAGGCAGTAGTACTGCAAGTTTGAACCCCACCTGGGCAACTTAGTGAGACTGTCTCAAAACAAAAAATAAAAAGGGGCAGCAGATATAGCTTATTGATACAGCACCCTCGCTCAATTCCCTGTACTACAGGGGAAAAGGTATTATATAAATAAGTATAATTAGTTGTAGTCATCCTTGGTATGTATGGGGAACTGCTTCCAGAACCTCCATTCCAAGATACCAAAATCTACAGATGTTCCAGACCCTTACATGAAGTGATGTAATATTTGCATACACGTACATCATCCTCTTATATACTTTACATCATATCTAGATTACTTATAATACCAGATACAAAGTAAATGTGATAAAAACTGTTGTTAGTACACAGGCAATATTTTTAAAAATTTGGAATTTCTGATGGTTGATTCCACATCTAGAACCAGGACGTAGAACCCATGAATAAACCAGTCAAGTGTATATTGAAATTTATGTTTTTAATAAAGAAAGGCTCACCTAACAATTTATAAAGAGAGATCTCTTTGCCCTCAAGGAATACATAACCTCAGTGATAAAAGTGACTAATCCACTTCAATTTTATTTATAAAAAGTTCTGAATAATATAAAAAGTTCTAGTGTAAATTTAAAACACAAAAATATGAAATAAAGAGCAATTATAAGAGATTTTGCCCAACTTTAACTCTTGAAGCCATTGACTGGCCATCAGCACTTGAAATAAATTTAAGAGAAAACTTCCTTATGGCATATGAATGCACATACAATAGTGAATGTGTAACAAATTCCTGCAGAAATGTGTCCAAGCTCTTAGCAACTTAAACTGACTTCACCCCATCCAGAGAGCTAAGTGTCATTAGTTCAAGCTCCCATAATTTTATAATGATGTCATAACTGAAATGTATAATTAATAATTGATAACTAAACTAGTTGGTCAATAAGCATTCATGAAGCTCTAAAAATGACTAAAGAGTTTGATGATATGGAAATCAAACAATCATGCATAAATATAAACAGGTATTGGGTGGCTGAAAAGCTTGAAACTTGTGCTTTGAGAAATGTATAATTGCAATTGCTATGGACTGCTTTACAGGAGCCATTATACATTACAAATACTGTAACTTGTGTGTGGCTTAATAGAAATTAATTCAAAACCTACATTTAGAATGGTATTGAGAAAGTGTGGTTTAAAAGAGATTGCTATGTCAAATTTATTCCAGTTGAGTCAGGAAAGCAATCTTTTGGATGTACCTTATATGACAATCCACTCTGAAATGTGCTATATTCAAAATATAAATACAAATCAAACAAATCTGTACTTGTCAAAAAGCACATGTTAAGTATCTAAATGCAGAAATGTAGTAACTAACGTAGTGATTATACCAACTTTTCAGGTTACCTACTTAAGTGTCTAACTCACTAAATTATACAAAGCTTTATTTAAAATTAATGTAAAGAATAGACATACTTACTTTAGCAACTTTTAAAATGGAGTTGGGAGAATTCAGACCAACCAGTTGGCCCAAAACATGTTTCATTTCATCAGTGGTTCCCTTAGCCATTTGGTTACCTATCAAGTAAACATAATCAGCAACATATTGATACCAATAAGCAAAACACAAGTCCATTAAAAATACATTCTATTTACTAGTACAATAACTAACATTCTTATAATTTATCATTGATTGCAGCATCTTATCCTGGTCAAGTACAGGTGAATGTGAGCAAGTAAAGAAAGGCGATTTTATTTACTTTACTATTTGGTATAACAGCAACTTCTTTAGAGTAGCCAACTCACATTCTTATTTTTGTTACAATTAATAGGCTGTTTTTGGTAGTAATCTAGTAATAAACAATTTTTAAAGCAGTACCTGGATGAGTCTGAATTTGAACATATGGATGTGCCAGGAGCTCAGGAATAGATATCCTCTGTTTAGGGTCCCTGATTAAGCAACACTATAAAAATAAAGATTAGTTTTTATAAATCAGAATTTTTTATGGGGCATTGACCAAATACTTTTCTAGATTGCATCATATTACAGAAGTTGCTTTCTAGATACCTACTTATACAGTTTTGCAAAACCCCGAAGCATTACATTTTGAAACACATTCAAAGTAAACTAAGCATGCTAAAATCAAGTTTAGTCAACAATTCAATAGGCCAGTTACATTAAAGTCAGTCACAAAATTCCAATCATTTCAGCTATTTCTTTTAAGCAAATGATTAATTATATAAAATATTATCTTTCTATATCTATATACTATTTTTTTTTTTGTACCAGGGATCGAACTCGGGACCTTGCGCTTGCAAGGCAGGCAGTGGATCCACTGAGCTAAATCCCTGGCTATCCATATACTATTAATATTACCTTTAGTACATCTTGAAGATCTTTCTCTGGAATATCAGGAAATTCAATTTCATGATTAGGGTCAATTATAGCATGTAACTTAGAAATCTGATTAATTATGTGCTGAAATGGTGTTTTCCCATAAGTCATATAGTACAAAATGCATCCTAAGGACCAAACATCACTTTTGGGGCTTATCTAAGTTGGAAAAACAAACAAACAAACAAGTTGATTTATTTTAATATAACATGTAAGAATATCATTACTTAAAATCACAATTATAAAATTACAATTAAATTGCACTGATTGTGAAAGTTTGCATAACCAACATTTTTTTCTAGTTTCCATATATTTGGTTATTTTATTAAGAGATGCGCTTCATTGGAGACAAAATGGCAGAGCAATGAGTGCCAGCAACTTAGCTTCACCAGGACAGTGTCTAGTCTAGAAAACAACAGCTTGGAGAGGAACCAAAGTGAGAGAAGGATACACAGAATCCATTAGGGAACCGACAGAGGAGAAGAAAATATAGGATGAAGAGATACAGAAAGAGGTGGACCATGCCGCAGAGGAGACCACAGTGTCGCCAACTGTGGCTGGTGTGTTGCCAGCCAGGAGGCAAAGTAAAACTAACAACCTCTTTGCTCCCGGAGAATCAGAGAGCTACACCAGGACCAGGAGAATCTCAGGCAGTTGGGGACAGCAGGAAGAAAGTGAGACTCTGCTTCCCGAGTGGCCCTCCAGTTAACAGTTGGTGAGTGACTGTGGTACAAGTGTCCTGAGGACAGCTGGGGACGCCACTGCAGGGAAGGCTGGGTGTTTGAACCTGGGCCCCAGAACAGCCCATGGCTGCTTCACACTGCCGAGTCCCCAGAGTGGATGAGGAAGGACAGTCACGGGAGACTGCAGCAGTTGGAGAGCAGACTGGGGGGGAGTTCCACTGAGAGGCAGGGACTGGCAATCACAGACTTGGTTCCTACGCTGAGACACCAGTTTCAGCCTGAGTCACACAGGAATGGAGGCTCACATTGGCACTGTGTTTCCACTGCTAAAGGGAGAAGCAAAACAGGACCTGATGGCATGATATTTCTCAACAAGCCCTGACAGGCGCCACTGTAATAAATTAGCCTTTTACTGCTGTAGCTGAATTGACTGCATAGGAATAATCCTGACTCAGAGGACAATTCAGTCCCAGTGAACCTGTCTGCTGAATCCACTATCACACCCAGGGAGAGAGACAGCAAGAGTTTCTAACCCAAGAACTTGGACCGGATCAAACTCTGCAAGAATGCCTGCAACCTGGCAGAAAGAGGGCCTGAGTCTGAGTTAACTTCAGTATTGCAGTGGAGGGATCAGAGGAATTATTGGGGTGTGAGCAATCAGACTCTGGCCAAGAAACTATTTGGGAAACACATATGCAGTGTCTCATTGGATATCTAGTCTGTGTTCTGAGACATCTTACTGGTTTTAAGTCTCTGTATGTTTCTTATTAGTTATTTAGTAATGTGGGGTTATGTTATATTATGTTATTTTATGGCTTCACGTGTTTATTAGGTTGTTACTCTTGTATATTTGTTCTTTCATTGACTGTGTCTAGGTTCTCCCTCTCATCTCTCCTCTTTACCTAGTTTCTTCACCTCAAAACCTGAGACAATACTATGAACACATTTCTTGGTTGTTTTTCCATGTAAACTCCTCCCAAGTTTTTAAATTCCCCATACCTTGCTCCCTCACAGTCACTCCTATCTTCCCTAGTATAATTCCTCAATTCTCCCCTTCCTAAGCCTTTGGCTCTTCCATATCTTACCTAGCTTACTGTCCTCCTTATCAGCAAGTTCTGATAACCATGTAGCTTTCCTCAATCACAAAATGAACTCCCTTTCTCCCGTATCGCACCTTTGCCCCCACAAAATATCCTCCAATAACTCTCAGTACTAAATCTTCAACTCAACTAAAGTACACAATAAAATCAGACCCCATTCCTATGTTTTCTCACCCACCACTATTCTCCCCTTCAAACTCCCCTGCCCTTAGTGCCTAACACTAGACATCCAACCACACCCATTCTCCCCAGCCCACCTCAACTATCTCACTGCAGAGCAACCCCAAATAATAAACAGTCGTAGTGTGCTTATAGGATAGACAAAGAGGGGAAGTGTAACTGGAAGGACTATCACACAGAAGTGTCAGAAGATTAAATCTGTGGGTGCTGTTATATATAGAAACAATTCTTTCAGCAAAGCATAGGGATAGACTGAACTCAGAGTAAATAACAGAAGGTGTCAATACCAACACTGGACACACAAATTGGAAAATTATTCATAAAGTGGAAAATTATTCATAGTGAGGCAACATCCTACATTATCTCCACATAAGCCACAAACTCTCCCCACTTCTCTAGTCCCAAACCTGCAGTAACCTGCCCCCTCCAAAAAAAGAAAAAAAAGGGGTCATATATAATTTTAAATAAGTAGTAGAATTGGGAAACAAGGAAATAGAAGATCGCTGAAGAACACCCACCCCCCAACTTTCCCAAGGCAGAGCAAGAGGATCACAAAGGGAGAAGAAAACAAATACCAGGTAGCAGAAATCTATGAAAGGTTTTTAGAAGGGATGAAGGAAAATACATGAGTTCAAAGAGGAAATGAACCAAAAGTTCACAGTAATTATACTCAATATTCCTACGGTGAATTTCGGGGAAATAGGTAAAAGACTGGATGATCTAACCAAAACAGTTCAAAATTTGAATGACAGATTCAAGAAGGATATGGAATCCTTGAAAAGATATCAAACAGATATACCTGAAATAAAAAACAGTAGAGAATTCATACATTGCAGAAATGACCTATGTGAAGACAGAATGTCTGATATTGAGGACAAAATAGTGAATGACAACAAAGAGCTCAAAGAAGCCAAAAAGAAAATAAGAGAACAAGAGATGACTATCCAGCAGCTACTGGATGACCACAAGAAGACCACTCTAAGGCTAAGTTAGAGAAAAACTAGAAGATACATACCACAGATGGATCCACTAACACACTTACAGAAATTATGCAAGAAAATTTCCCAAATAAAAGAAAAAAGTTTAAAATACAAGTGATGCTTATAGAACACCAGTTATGATGAAAGGAGCTCACCAATGTATATCCTCATTAAATTCACAGATATTCAGAAAAACAAAGCTACAGAATTTTAAAGGCAGCCAGAGAAAAACAAAAAAATCATTCATAGAAGTAAACCAATTAGAAACACAGCAGACTTCTCAGCACAAACCCTGAAAGCCAGAAGAGCTTGAAGTACCTGAAGCCCTAAAAGCAAATAACTTCCAAACCAGATTAACTTACCCAGCAAAGCTATCCTTCAAAATAGATGGAGAGATAAGGTAATTCCATGAAAAAGACCAGCTCAGAAGATACATGAGTGCCAAACCAGCTGTAGAGAAAATACTCAAGAATATTCTCAACAAAAATGAATAGGACACAGCTGAAAAAACAAGACACTAAAAACAGGAAATTTGCAAAGTTAATGGATAAACAAGAAAAGACCAGGGGAAAAAAACAAAGAATCCAGCAACAGATAAAGAAGGCAATGACCGTAAACAACCAACACATCTCAGTAATATCTCTCAATGTTAATGGTGGCAGAAGGGGTCCCCAGGACACAGTGTGTGCTCAGGTCCACTTGGTCACAGGGCTGCAGAGAGGAGGGTTAGTCCGGGGCCCGAGGTAGCGTGACAGGCGGAAGGCCCCTGACAAGGGACACCAAAGAGGCCACCACAAAGCTCACTGAGGTGGTGAAATATAGTGGAAAGGTAAAGGAAAACTTTACATATTCCAGTTATACTTGGAAAGGTAGAACTTATAAACAAATAATAAACGAACACTTAAGAATTAGGAAACAATCCTTGAAAGGATATTAATTCAATGGTATTATCAGGTGTTCAAACCAGAGTTATTTATTTTCCTTTAATTTTAAACTCAAAAAATATCCTAGGTGTGCCCCCCTCCCCTTTTTTTTGCAATACTGGGGATTGAACCCAGGGCCTTCACTCTGAGCTACATCCCTGTCTCTGTTCATTTTTTACAATTTTGAGACAGGCTCTTGCTAAGTCGTCAAGTTGCTTAGGGTGGGCTTGAACTTGGGACCCTCTTACTTTAGCCTCCGAGTGCTGTGATTACAGGCACATACCACTGCTCCAAGATTAGGTGAATTTCTTGTAGGAGCACAGTGAGGGACTGACATAGTAAAAGAACCATTAAAGAACAATCTTAAGTCAATATAAAAGTGAAATTGAATCCCATGACAATCTGCTTAAGAAGGCAAGATCTCTGTACAATAATGAACTATGAAGTTTTAGAACTTAAATTTATGTGAAAAGTTTACTGGTGCCAATTAAATGAAATATTTACAGTACCTTGGACTTGGATTTCCCATTTTCTCTTGAGGAAGACATATCTTTGATTGCTTCTGGTGGCATGTAATTAACTGTACCAACCTATTTGCCAAGGAACAGAAACACAAATCAATGAAAATATTTCATTCTGCTTTAAATTTTTAAAAATACACATGCCAGATTCTTGGAAACTAGGATAATTATAGATTTTAGTGATGCACTTGAAAAATTCAAGTAATTGTCAACACCGTTAAGCTGTAGATCAAATCACAACTGGAACAAAAGGAATTGGTTTCAGAATGCTGTGCTTTTTGTAAAATTATAAAAGACAAATAGTATTATCTGCCTTCCAATGTCCAGGCTAAAATTCTATTAATGGCCATAAACTTTGAAGAAATAATTATCACTCATTTTTGTGCTGAAATAAACTCAACATTTTTTTTTCCCTGTAATAAACCGCAGTCTAGCCATACACTGGATGTAAAAAGAAATGACTGCCAATCAAATTGTTTTAAGGACATGCTCCCTATCTATTCTTCTTACAGTCTGGTTTTGCTCCTAGGATTAAAGTACTTTTGCATCAGAAATCTGTTACATGAAACACATCTTATGCCAATCAAGATTATCTTTTAGTCATACTTCAGTGCCACTGCATTAGCTTTTATGGGATAACTTCTCCAGTTTGCTAATCCTATCATAAAAATGGTTGCTGAGTACAGTATTTACTATGGCATTTCCAATATGAAGGCACTCTTAAAATTTTTTTCTCTAATTTAAGTGATAAGAAAAACTTTCTTCTCTGGAAGAATAGAAACAATCTTACTTCATGAATAATGAAAAAAAAAAATGTAACTGCAATTCCCTCTTCACTTGCTACCACGAAATCTGAGCCAGACATTCAAGCTGATTTTAGATCATGACCAAATGATATCCAAGGCAGGTACTACTGCTTCTCTATCTCTGCTATACAAAAATCATTCAAGATTGCTGGATATATTTCTATCTGATGTTGATTTTCTACTTGAAAATGTATTGACCACGGTTCCATGGTTTTGAATCTTTTTATAGTCATAGTATCTATTCTATTAAGATTTCAAATCCTTTGTTTCATGCGGTAGGTGAAAATATCATACCTATGGGCAAAATCACACATGCAAAGGAACTGAACTCAATGGTGTTATGCCTGACTATCCATTCAGAGTCCTACCTGAGAATCTTTGACGATGCTTGTTGTATCTGGTTGCATTTGGTTTGCAATCCCAAAATCAATTAGCTTTAGCATTCCATCAACTATTAGGAAGTTAGCAGGCTTCAAATCACTATGAACAATGCCTTCAAATAAAAACACATTATATAAGAGATTGTAAAATACTCTTCAGACAAAAAATTTCACAATCTATAGGTCATGGTGGTTACTTTGTCAACCCAATTAAATACACTTTCAAACACTTTGCCAGGAGCCAGTCACCATTCTAAGTTTTTTACTCACAATGGATTATTTCTCATAACAATGCTGAAGTGAGTACCATTACTATATCCATTTTAAAGGGAGGAAACTGAGTTAAAGTAAATTGTTCAAAGGACATAACACAAGGGCTAAAAGACAATGCCATGACTTGAAGCCAGGCAGTCTGGCCTCAGACTACCCACTGCTGTTCACTGCCCAGCAGAGAGAATGGCAATTACAACTGCCAGATACTATGAGCTGAGTACTTCAGACACTTCTATCTCCATAGCCTTGAAGTAACCACTAACAAATTCTCTCTTAGAGGAAGAGAGAATGAAGAGGAGATAAATTATAGTCATCTAGGTTAACAGTTGTTTTATTTTAAAAGGCAGAGAAAAGCTTTAAAAAGAACCAAGAGCAAGGGGCTGTGGAATGAATAAATGAGTGAAACCAACAACTCTCACATAGGTCATGGAACATAAAATCATTAGGAGAATGAGGGAAGTAAACATCTCACATTTTCAGGATGCCTGGACGAACCCTAGTCTTAGATAGACAGTGTCAGCATTTGGAGATAAGGATCATAGATTACATTAACACTGATAACGGTACATTTTGCATTACACATATAGGAACTTGAGTTAATGTCCTATATCCCAAGTTAACAGTGTTTTAAGAAATGAGTTTGCTGGGCATGGTGACAGACATGGATTCCAGCACCCTAGCAGACTGAGGCAGGAAGATTGCAGGTTCAAGACCAGTCTGGGCAACTTAGCAAGATCTTGTCTCAAAATAAAATGTAATTAAAGACCTGGGGACTTGGCTCAGTAGAGGTACTACCAAAAATCAAAAAGAAACGGATTTCTTCCTTCATCTTTAAATACACTTTCAATTATGTAGTTCATCTTATTAAAGGTGCCAATAAGGCTATAGGCATATTCCTCTAGGATGACAATACTAACAAATATTTTAACTTTACATATATGGACAGACTCCAAATACCATGTTGATGTATAGTGTGTACTGCCTCCAACATATTTTTCCAGTAACTCTTGCGTTCCCATGGATTGATGGACTTTTTCTTCTTAAGCCAACTATTAAGGTCTATATTTCCACATTCCATTACCATGTAGATATACTGATCTGTGATTTCACTGCAATTAAAAACAAAAGCAATAAAACAATAAATGAGTAGGTTACAGTAAGATTTACTAAGTATTCATCTAAAATTATGGCCAAGAAGTTTTATTTTTAAGTTAAAAGAGTTCCTTACTGATCATAAAGTCGGATGATCTTATCACTGTGTTGTTGTAGTTTATTCAAATAAGCTATTTCATTCCGATAACTTTCAACAGTTTGGTTATCTGCTTCTTCTAAGTTCACATATTTTATAGCATATATCTGTTTCTTCTCATTCAAGACCTGAAATACCTATATAGTACAACAAAGAGAAAAAGTTCAGTATGCACCACTAGCTCAATGATTCTTAAGGTATTAGAAATAATTTTAGATTGAGAAAATTCTGAAGGAAATACTGACAACGAAAAATTAAGTTTCTGTGCCTGGTTTGAATAAGGAAGGCAAAAAAAAAAAAATCATAAGAAATAGTCCATTTCTAAACACATGACAATGTACTTCAATAATTCAAAAGTATAAACGTAAAAGAATTTTTTTTCATCAATGTATAAGAAAAGTAATTTTAATTTGGTATATGTTCATAACACGCTTTAGGATGTCTTAACCAGGGAAATAATGTACAGAAAAAGACATTCAGAAGTGTTAGCTATGACTAAGGCTATAATAAATAGGTAACTATGGTGGCTTTTTCCATTGTGTCTATTGTTGACAAGCCCATTCATATGCTGGGAGAATATTAAAAATATATATATTAACTGTAAGATATCAACATATTCAATTGTAAAAAAGTAGAATAGGTCTAAGTTTGTGCAAAAAACCAAAACACAAAAAAGCTCAGTTTGCAGGAATATGTTCTCCTAAATATCCTGCCAGGGTCTGTGAGGTTCAGATGAACTTGTACTGGCCAAATGGAGTTGATTTTGAAGTAATACTGATAGAACAGACATCATTTGAAAAGAGACCCTGCTAACTGGTCTAATGTTCAGCAAATGTGCAGCAATGATGATGTTTCTAAACCTAAAGAAGTCAAATACAAAATGCTAGCATACGCAGGTTACATTCACGTCTCCACTTGGACATACTGAAAAACTCATTGAGCCTTAACTACCCAGAAGATACTGGGAAAGAATAAGAGGGGTGCAAGTGCATTTGAGGGTCATGAGCTAAGATTGCACTAATAAGGAAGGTCTATTAAGCCCACAAGTGTGGCTTACTTTTAATTATTAAGTACAAAACTATAAAAAAGTATTGGCTTTACTTAGATACACAACAAATTGAGGGAGGTGGGGCATAAAACAGTGATAGATAAGAGGTAGCAAAAAATAATGAAAGAGACAAAAGGAATTTTTAAAACAGCAGCATAAAGCCATTCTGTGTAAGGCAGACAGTCTCACAAGTTTAAAGGACCGAAAGCACTACTGTGGTGGGGTGCAATACTGAAACCCAAAACCCTCAATGGTCATATCTTATTTGCATGCCATTTAGTAAGGTAGGGAGTAGTATCATCATACAATGAAATAGTTTTATCATAATAAAATGTAAGCATCATATAAGGTACCCCTCCACACACAGAACTTAAAAAACTACAAGGAGACACCAGCATTCAAACACCAGCTGCACCCAGGTCGGCAGTCTAACCTTGGGCAAGCTCCTCAATCTCCCAAATCCTGAACAGTAAGTAGCACCTACTGCACAGGGTGGGAAGGGAACTGAGATGACTGATGTCTCCACAGTGCTCTGCTGTATGTCTGGAGCGTGGCACATGTTTGCTCTTATTGTTAAAGATGTTCAGGACAAAATAAAGTGGACATTCTCACACACGTTAAAGTTGTCTGATATATCAGAACAGTGGCTGACTAAAGCTATCTGAGATCTTACTAGTTCCATGACTGCTCTAGATGTTTTAATACAATATAAGTTGGTAACTGCCTAAACTTACCCTAATGCATGTTGATTTTTTCCAACTCCATCACAATAGATTGAATAAGTTAAAATAACTCAGAAAATACGAGCCAGGCATAGCTTTATCAGTTGGCCCTTGATTTAAGTAAGATTACAGCTTCATTAGCCTCCAAGTAAAAACTATTGAGCACACCATTAGGGTTAGTCTTCATCCTTTGAAAACATGCCTTAGAAAATTATACTAATGCTTAAAATAAGGCCAATAGCCTTTGTTTCGCATTATCAACATAACAACTGAGCACAGACAAGGGAGGGAGCTGATTCATTCAACAAAGGAATTCAGTCCTCATTCTATTCTAGGTTGTTCAGGCCAGTAGAGCAAATACCACTGTGCGAACCAGACAACAGACACTCATTTTCTTCATGGGCTCACATTCAAGTGCAGGGGACATAAACAACTGACCAAATAAACTGGTGGGGCACAGTAGAAGATAAGCTGCAGAGAAAATGCAAGGAGGGGAATGGGGAACATTGGTGACTGGAAAGGGGCAGTTTCAGAGTATGGCCAGGGAAGATCTGATGGAGAAGACACCTGAGCTAGGACATGAGGATATCTGGAGAAGTAACCGCTGCATTAAAACAGACCAGGAGGGCAGGGACTGGGCCGGAGAGACTCATCAGGAGGCTACTGTGATATGCTAAGTTAAAAGATGACAGCTGCTTTGACCAAAGTCATAACACTGGTGAAAAATAAGATTCTGGAGACACTTGGAGCTAGAACAAGTAAGATCTGCTGATTGGCTGGGTGTGTAATGAGAAGAATAACCAGTTAACTGCTTTTTGGTCAAGCAGTTAGAAGAGCGGAGTTGCCATTTACTGAAATGGGAAAGACTATGATATTAAGCACAAGTCAGAGTTGGACATATTGTTTTAAATGCCTCATAGCTCAAAGAGTTGCTGAGCAGTCAAATTTGATATATAAGTCTGGAATTCAAAGGAGAAACCCGAATTGGAAAAACAAGGTGGCAAACTGTCAGCAAGACATGGTATTTAAAGCCACAAAGATGGAAGAGAATAAATACCAAGGGAATGCGTGAGTTTAGAGAGAAGAAAAGAGGACAAGAGCACAGTCCTAGGTACTGCACCACTGGGATCTGATATGTAAGGAAGTCTGAAAAGGAAAGGCCAGATGGAGAGAGTGAAAACAGAGGAGCAAGTGGAAGAAAAACCTTGAGAGAGAGAGACAGCAAGCCAGCCAATTATCTAGAACACTAAGTAAGCTGAAAATCAAAGCTAAGAACGAGATTTAGCAAAAATATGGAGGTTATTGCTGGGCATGGTGGTGCACATCTGTAATCCCAGAACTGGGGAGGCTGAGGCAGGAAGACCACTGTGAGTTCAAGACCAGTCTGGGCTACATAGTGAGTTCAAGGCCAGCCTGAACTACATAGCAAGATGCTGTCTCAAAATAAATAAATAAATGGAGGTTATTAGCAATCTTAAAAACAGTTGTTTAATAAGTGACAAAGTAAAAAAATCTGACTGCAATAGATGTAAGACAATGAGAGTTAAATATTATATATAGTGCTTCCATCCATACATAACCCTTTATTGATTTCTCCTTGATGTAACAAGACAATAGAAGGAGACGTGGGTATACATGCATACAGCAACGGAGTGGTGTAGCCTATGACAGATGCCTGAGAGTGACAGTCCTTAAATTCAGAGCACAGACAGGATGTGATGGTGGAAGAAGCTGCCAAACCAAAAGCCTACTTCGGGAGATGAGCACTCAGGAAGGCATTCTTGGGTCTTCACGCTGAGCTACACCCTCACCCTTTTTTATTTTGAGATATGGTCTCCCTAAGCTGCCCAGGCTGGGCTCCATGTTGTGATGGTCCAGCCTCATTCTCCAAGACTGCTGGGATTACCGGCATGCTCACCTTCAGGAAAGGTGGAAGTATATTAAATTCAGAACTCAGATGAATTTAGGAAAGAATCTAATTCAAGAAACTCCTGTTACTAATGAGTTTAAAAAAAAAAAAAAAAAAGGGCCCAGAGGAAGGGGCTTCCGGGCCGCTGTCCATCCTGCCGCTCCCAGCCCAGAGGTAGGGGCTTCTGAACCACCATCCCACTGCTCCTGGTCCAGAGGAAGGGGCTTCTGGGCCACCATCCAGCCTGCTGCTCCCAGCCCAGAGGAAGGGGCTTCCCAGCCAGCATTCATCCCGCCACTGCCAGCCCAAAAGAAAGGGCTTCAGGGCCACCATCCAGCCCACCACTCCCGGCCGAGAGGAAGGGGCTTCCAGGCCACCATCCATCCCGCCACTACCTGCCCAGAGGAAGGGGCTTCGGAGCTGCTGTCCCTACTTTCCCAGCTCAGAGGAGGTGAGCCATGCAGGCACAAACAGCAACCCCCACTCCACTCCTGAGTCGAAATGAGAAGACACGTGAATAAGTCTCAAAACCAGACTTCCAGATCACCTACAGCAACCCCAAAGGGAAATGAGATGGAACACTCTGATACTCAACCACCTGGAC